TTACAATCATCTTCAACTCTTATTATGAAGACATTTACTCTTGGCCTTACATTGGATTTAAAGTGTTGAAAGGACGAAGGTAGGCCACATGTGAACTTGTTTTATACACTATGATGTTCCAGTTCCATACTTAATGACAACTCAATACCTTATGTTTGCCAAGCCACTGAAATATCAGACTGAAACAGGGGTAACACTTCTGTAATACTATACCTGTAGTGTTTTAGAAATTATTTTGTAAGTGGACAATGCGCTAGGGAAAAAGGAGTGGAGATGTTTAATGTAACAGTATACAGAAAGACAATGCTTTCTGTGGTTTATACTATATTACTGTACTTTTAACTGTAGTTGGTCCTTCCTGTCTGAAAAATGTTTGTAAAAGCTTATAAATACAATGTTATTTCATTTTCTTCAGAATTGAGAGTTCCTTTCTGATTAAGTACCATAGTTATATTTTATTCTGTATCTTCAGATTATTTTTTGTGTATGAAATGTGGCAAATAACTTATGACCTTATTAAATGTTGTTTACCTCAGAGTTTATTACAATGCTTTCTAAAGGTTTTTCCTATGAACTTATATAATGCATTGTATAATAAGACTAATTTAATTACAGTTTGTTTCATACTGTATATGAGCCAATCATTCAGCTGCTTCATTTATGTATTTTAGATTTTTAGATGCTCTTTACAGAGAGATAAACCTTCAATGCCATTGGTAGTTTTCCATAATTAAAAAAATAAAAAGATTTAAAATAAAATCATATGTAATAAATGTTGGATTTTCTCTTCCATTTTTCATCAAGTGTAGTTAGTAGCATAATTTGTAATGAGTCAATTTCAGGTCAGCTTTGATGTTAACTTAGAGAGTGGTGTTTTTGAAAAGGGGAACCCTTACCAGAGAGGCATTGTTAAAAATAAATGGGATAAAAACATCATCAGCTTTTAGATTTAGATGTGTATTGAGTCCAGTAAACAGTCTAAGCCTAAAAGACAGTCAGTCTTGATATTTTAATTCTGGAGGGATCTCATGTGAGAACATTTGCCTGTGGAGCTCCTAGAACTTAATACTGAGCTTTAGGAGCAGTTTACTCTCCTGTGTAACATGAATAGACAAATAAAAAACCAATGTGTACTGTAGCTCTGTGAAGAAAAGCTGAACCCAACACCAGAGTCATTTCACCTAGCATTTGCACAAAAGACATTGGCTTTTTTTTCTTCCAAATATATATTCACAGGCTGTTGATATTCTGATAAAGTTTTCTAAATTGCCTGTGTAATAAATGGAAATTCTACTATTTCTTTTACCTTGTACCAGCCCAGTGCGACGATCCTGTGCCAATGCATGGAGAACGAGTGAGTGCAGACAGGCTTCCTCCCCGTCCCCCCCTACAGACCTGTTTGTGATTTCACACGCTACGAGCTCAGCATCTGTTTCTTCGGGAACGGAGCAGTAACCCCCAGCCACACTCGGGCCACTGTGGGATTCCCAGTGACAGTCAGCCAATGACATGACCCATGTCCAGACTTGCTCCATTTGGATCACAGAGCTGCAAGCGCACTCAAAAGTGGGCCACTCGGGAGCACGCAAATTGTTCTTCTGATAAATATACTGATAAATATCTTCTGATAAATATTCTGATATACTGTTTCATGGTTTTTAATATCGCCTGCTGAAAGGGTTACTGGGTGCTGTATTCTAAAACTTTGAAAGTGAAAACATGCCACTCCATTTCCTTTTTATTAGTATCCTGTGTGATTTGGTTGCTTTATTGTGTTAAATAATTTCACAGTTAAAATCTGAAAAGTCTTGCACAATCTTGCAAAAGTCCACAGTGAAAGTGAGAGGCTGTTGCTCTGAGGGGGAGGGAGGGGGTAGGGGGGTAAATGCTACCTGCCGTGTACCGAGATCCATGTTGAAACAGCTGGATGAGATCCTTGGCTCAATTAACTACTTACTACCAGATGGGCCAGATGTTCTGAATGGCCTCTTGTCTGTAACCTGTCTTGCAGTATGTTCTTACGATACCACATTATTTAATTGATATTTTCAGAGTGCAACAAATGCTTAATTGCTATTGTGGAAAAAATGTGTAAAGTGCTGTAAATGCAGATGTTCATGAATTGGCCTTTCACCTTGAGTGATATCCCTGACGCATTCCTTATGTTTCTTTTTCATTGCAGATTTAATTCCCCTCCCCATACCTACCATTTTATGAATGTTGTACCTTTAAATGGATAAATGTCATTGTTTCCTCTGAACTGAATCTATGTCTGTACTTCCCCTGAAGCTATTTATGTGAAGTGAAATGCATATTCATTGTAGGAAGATGCAGGTTTACAGGAAGTGGAGTTGAATTCCTAAAAATAGAGCTGTGATCTTTCAGGAATAAGACTGGTCAATCAAGAATTTGTTAACGTCTTAGGTTGTCAGTAAGAGGATCCGGTATGCAAAAATGCGGTAGTAAAAAGCATTAGGTAAGGAGGAATTGTTAAAGAAAACAATGTTCTTTCT